CAAGCAGGCTCCGCACTGTCAGCACAGAGCCTGATGCGGGGCTCAATCTCACACATTGTGAGATCGTGACCTGAGCTGACATCAAGAGTCGGGCGCTCAACCGACTGAGCCTCCCTTTCTTCATCGGTGAAGTGGGAATAACACCGCGCGCTCCCCGGGGCCGATGTGCGAGTGAACTGAATTACGCCTGCGAGGAAGCTTGGGGAACCAGAGCACTACCTAGATAGGAGTTCTGTTAACAGAGAGCCCACCCCCGCCCCCCACCGAGCTCCTCAAAGGGCAGAAAAGACAGTGACAAAGTCCCAGTGGAGAAAGGAAGGGGAGGCCGGTCTGTGTGTTGCAATCGTGGCCGCCCCAGGTGGAAGTGATCCCACGGAGCCCGAGTCTACAGAAAGCTAAGGGCCCCCGCTAAACCTTTGAACCTGAGAAAGTCTTTTAACATGTCGCGTCCAGCCTGCTCACCGCCGCTGCCCTCCCCATTGCAGGTTAATTTTGTGGCAGCTATCGATGTGTACGAAGACGGAGAAGCCGGGCTCCTCTTGTGTTACAACTGTAAGTTGCTAAAATTAACTGTTGTTTTTCTGGGCAATTCCAAGGGACTCAGCCATAGATCTACCTGACATATTGTTCCTGTGGCCTTAAGGGCACCCCAGGGAGCCACTATGAGTTGCATTTCCGACCTGGCTCTCCCAGACCTCCTGGTGAGATGGTTCAAGGGCACTGTCTCCAGGATGCGAGGTGGTGACAGTGGCTTCCACTTAGGGAGCCCTTACTGTGTGCCGTGTGCTGGGCTCAATACATTCCAGTGACTGTGTCATCTAATTCTCAGGGACCTTTATTACCTGTATTTGGAGATGAGGCGCCTGAGGCCTGGAGAAGTGACCTGTCTTTCTCAAGATCATGCAGCTACAGAACAGCAGACCCAGGGTTCACATTTGGGGCCCTCTTGATTCCAGGGCCCCTAATTTTAGCCACGGTTACTATTCTACTCTTCGCTGTTTCTCAGGGGTTAACGAAATCAGCCTCAACCTGGCGTATCCGGCCTCACCTGGGCTGGTTTGGGTCGGGTGGCAGGGTGGGTTTGGGACAGACCAGGTCAAATGCATCAAAGAGGGTCTTGTAAGAATTTTCAGCCTTTCAAAAGCTAATATTATACTACAGTACAAAAGATCTTCTTAAGGCTAAAAGTAGTAAGGCATTTTCCTAGATCTGCCTGCCCAGTCTAACTAAAACAATAAAACATATTTTTTCACCTATAATTGTATGGATTTAGAGTAGTGATTTTAATCGGCCCGCGTGGGGCCAATACTTTGATTAATCTTTGATTAATAAGTATGGGAGAGCTAACTACCAGCAGAGAACTCCGTTTGGTAAACCTCATCTTGCAAGATGTGAGATTTGACAGCCCCTGTGATGAGAGGGCCGATATGCACACTGCGTCCAGAGTGGTCCCTGGACCCCTGGGGCTGGACCCAGGCTGCCCCTGCCGCCCTGTGTCCCGGTTACAGGGCCCAGCGGAGTGGGGGGACACATGTTTGAAGTCACTTCTAGAAAATCTCTTTATCTTTTTCTTTAATCGCTTTAAAGGGTAGCCTTTTCAATTTATTGAAAAATCTGTGAGAAAAACTTGTGGCCAAATGCTTTACAAACTGATGTCGATTTTTTTTTTCTTTTAACCGCTTGAAAGGATAGGAAGGATTTTAGGTGGGAGAGAAAATCAGAACAGAAAGACAGAGCAGGTTATCAGAATGGGATGATTAGTCCCAAGATGAAAAGGGAACACGGAAACAAATGTGGATGGACATCCTCTCTGTACCACACTGGAAGCATATGGACGGGAGCAGACTGGGTTCCCCTGGGCGGGAGTGGCCCAGGGCTGTGCCAGGTGTGGTTCAAGTGGCCTCTCCAGGTCATTACCCCTGGCTTTGGTGGTCTCCTGGCTTCAGGCTCTGGTTTCATCTCAGCATGGGATCGGTGTATGTCTGTTTTCCTAGACCCACTGAGCCGTCAGAAGATAAGCTCTGTGTCTTTAGATGCCACGTGGGTCAAGGCCTTAGCAATCCCGGAGATTCCCAGACCTGCCTCTGTCTTCCCCAAACAGTGCCACTTCTGTCCGTTTCTCTGGGTCCGGAATCTGGCTTTCCTTTTCCATCTCCCTCCTTCTCCCAGAAGGCTGCCAGGTCCCCGGTGAACAACCCCAGAGAACCAATTGGTTTTCCCCACGGTCACCCAGGCCACTTCTGTAACTCCTTCCCCCACACGCACTGGCTGCTGCGTTCGCTTGTTTTCATCAGACGCCTGTGCAGTAAAGGCCCTTGTCAACAGGGTGCTGTAGAATGATCTTGCTCCCTGCAGTGTTTGCAGCTGATTTTTATCAGCTTCCTTTCTATTAAAAAACAAAATGAAGTAACAAATAGCTTTTATAAATTCAGAGTGTCGTAGAAAGAGATTTTTATCTCAGATATGTTAAAGATGAAAGTATTTTGTAATAGAAATTACAACTTCCAGTTATATGTTCTTTGAGAAAAGTGTATTTGCCGGTAAATTTCAGGGGGACAAAGTGTAAGTAGTTCAACGGATGATCTTATTTTCTTGTGATTCATTTCTATCTTGAATATCAGAGTCAGTCTACTTAAAAAGAAAGAAAACTTGGCTGTGACCTTAGCATGCAGTAATGATTCACACTTAATGCAAATGATAAATCTCGCTACGAAAGGTGAACTCTGTTTGCTGATGGTGTTTTAAAGATAATCGTGCAAGGAAACCAGAAAAGCTCACGTAAGTGCTGTTCTCAGTGTGAGCCTATCTAACCTATGTCTTAACTTCCGGATGAGTCACGTGAAGAATACAGAACCCACCACTCGTGACTGCTGTGCAGGTTAACAGGATCTTACCAGTGAAGTCCATAACACGTTGCCAGGCACAGCAAGATTTTCTCTTTCCTCCTTTTAACTCCAGATTCATCAGAGCAGCAGTCAGAATCCAGTTTGTTTGGTAACCTCCGTAGGCTTTTCTACACGCAGAAAGGGACTTCAGGGAAATTCGTTTTAACACTAGAGATAGTGTCTGTCACCTGCTCACTCCCCACCAGCCGGATGGGCAAAGTCAAAGGAGTGAAGGTCAAGGACTCCTAGCTGCTTCCTGTGACATTTTCAGAATCCTGCCCTTCACCCCAGCCCCTGATCCAGGCTTTCCTTTTTAAACCACAACAGATGACCTTCTCTGTGCCAGGCACGAGTTAGATTCTGGAGACACGGCAGTGAACGGTGCTGCCAGGGACCGCAGTGAGCTCACAGTTTAGGGGAGAGCCAGGCATGGGCGCCAGCACCCTGGGTGTTAACGTGCTTCACAGCTCTGGGCCTCGAGAGACATGCCTTGCTTACTTTTCTAAATCAATTCGGTCTGATTTGGAGCCCCCCCCCCCCCCCCCCCCCCCCCCCCCCGCCCCCCCGGCCTCAGGTACAGAAACCACCAGTATTGGTTATCAGGAGGGAGAGCCGTCTATATCTCTGGGGACCTATTGGAGTCGCTGGGGCTTATTCAGGTGGAAGGGGGAGGGGAGGGTCCCCTGAACTGCAGTCTGGGGCACCTCATCCATGCCTGTGTGACCGTTTCTCAGGCCGACAGCTTCACCGTGGGACAGGCTGAGCCCCCGAGGCACATTCACACTGCTCTCCGCCATCCGGCATGCTCTGTGCTCCCCAAGTTCAGGTCTCCTCCACCCCAGACCCCCTCAAACCCACCAGCAGTTTGCTGGCCTCTGATGGGAGTTGGGGCAGGCCTCGGGGGTGGAGAGGAGGTGTGTGTAAGGGACCAGAGCCTTGAGGGACACATCTCTGACCTGTCCTTCCTGAGTGGGGACAGGGAGGGAAGGGCCATTTACTCATTCAGCAGATATTTACTAAGCACCTAAGATGCCTCGGTGTTTCAGCAGTGAGTAAAATATACACAGATCCCTGCCTCTCAGAGTGTACCTTTTAAGGGCAGGTAGACAATTAACAGGACAAGAAAAACATCCAGTATGTTGAACGGTAGTAGGTGCTAAGGGGAATAAAACGGAGAGGGACCAGGGTTCAGGAGTTGGGGAGTGCAGGTGTCCATTTAGGGAAAGTGGCAAAGGAAGGCCTGCCTGGGAGGGGCGCTCGGAGAGAAGACCCTGAGGGAGTCAAGAAGGGGTTTGTGTTCCAGGAACATTCTAGTATTTCATTGACTGGTGTGGCCCCAGCAGAGTGAGTGTAGGTGTGAGTGGATGAAAATGGTATCTGAAGAGGACCAGATTTGGGGGCGGGGGGGGGGGGCCTGGGAGATGAAGAGCCTCTTACTCTGGGGAGCAGCCAGAGGATTTTGAGCAGAGGGGCGACAGGATGGGACTTATGGGTGAAAGGACCGTGGGCCACTGTGCGGAGAACTTCACGGAAGCTCGTGCCTGCACTCGTGGGATGACAGATGGCAGGGGCTTGTACCAGCACACAGCAGCGGAGGTGCTGAGATGTGGTCCGGCCCCAGGGGTGTTTGAAATATGGGAACCAAGATCATTTGCTTGACGAATCCAGCAGGGCATGTGGGGGAGGAGAGAAGGGAGGCTGTCCCTGGGAACAGGAGCAACTGGAAAAATGGAGAATACCATTTCCTGAGACGAGGGGAACTCTGAGAGGAGCGAGTTTAGGAGGGAACATCAAGAGTTGAGTTTGGACACATCAGTGCCTCCCCGATACGCTAGAGGAGACCCCAGGGACTCGGGAGAGTGCCCACGGGACACCTTCATTTGGGAGCCATCATTAGCATGTAGGTGACACTTAGAATCACCAGAAGCGGGGATGTGGGGAGGGAGAGTGAGAGGAGCCAGCGGGCTGAGGAGTGGCTCCAGGGAAGGAAGTCTCCAGAAAGGCATCATGAGAGGAGGAACCAGTTCCTGAAGCCTTCAGGCCCTGCCCAGCAGCTCCAGCTTTCACACACGTGCCTCGCCACACAGCGGGGACACAGCTCTGCGTTCCAGCCAGGGGTGGGAGTGGCTGCTTCGCAGGCGTGCAGTTTCTTTTTAGGGTCAGAGAGAGGTCATAAAATTGGACCGTGGCATTGCACACCTCTGTAAATTTACAGAAAATACAGTGAATTGTACACTTAACGTGGATGGATTTTATAGCGTATAAATTATAGCTCCATGAACCTGTTTTTTAAAATAATTAAAAATAATTCAATTAAAAATAAGATTGGACAGGTAAAACATGATGGGCTTCTGGAATAAAAGGAGCTTTTGCTTCTGTACGGACCTTCTCACTCTGAGAGGATCTGAGCCACCTGGACCTGTGCTTCGAGCTCAGAGCAGGCCAGGAACGGGCGGCTGTTCAGCCTGGCCTTAATCTAATTCTGGCCGTGTTCCCCAAGGTGACACAGGCACATGGCTTCAAGTTTTCCTAGCAAAATGTTGGGGGGGGGGGGGTTGTTGGGAGCCAGTGGCGGGAGTATCCAGCTCCCACCGTGCTTGTCCTGCTGAGTGAGGCGGGAGGGCCTCCTCCGTCCAGGCGGCCCCGTCACCAAGTGTCCCTTCTTCTCTGCAGTCCAGCACACCTCTGTTCAAACCCTGCCCCCCCCCCCCCCCCCGGGTGGTACTTGTGAGACTCTGGACCAGCCGCTTCACCTCTCCTGGCCTCAGTCTCGCCATCTGCACAAGGAGTATAATCATGGCACCTGCTTCAAAGCATTCAGACTAAATAAGCTAACTTTTGTGAAGCTCAGTGCCCTGCACACAGTAAATCCTTCCCAAATGCAGCCGCCAGTGCTTGTAGTGTCATGGCCGCGGCTCCGACTGCCTCCCGGCCTGAGAACCTGGCGTCGTGGCAGGGTTAGTACCGGCTGGCTGTGAAGACCTAGCAGATAGGATGCTATTCTGGTTGCCTGTTTTCCAAATATCTAATTACCCGGCCCTAAGCGTTGTCTCTAACAAAAAAATGAGTCGCTGTTGTTTTGTTGCAGACAGTTGCATCTATAAAAAGGTTTGCCCATTTAATGGGGGCTCTTTTTTGGTTCAACCCTGTGCGTCAGATTTCCAGTTCTGCTGGAACCAGGCTCCTTATGCAATTGGTAAGAAAACCCTCGATCGTTTTGCCCTCCCCACCCCCCCCCCCCCCCCCCCCCCCCAACGTGGACCCATCTGATCTGTTCGGTCCCATGTCAGCCAACTTACTGGCTTGCTGCTGGACTGCCATGAGTTATGTGAGTATGAGGACTGCTCAGAGTGTTCTTTTCCTTTCTGTTCCCCCTTTGGGACTGTTGCCATCCACTGTGCCTCCCAGCTGGGAGCATGGGAGCATTTGAGATCAACGAAACCCCGATTTTCAGGACTTGGGTATCTTTCAGTATCATTTCATTGCTGGGCTTCGCTTTCCTTTTCCTACAATTTGAGCACGAGATCTCCAGCCTTAAAACACTGACTGACTTGGAGAAGCCCAAGGCATCCCGTGCCGTGCTTAACGTATTTTAGAGCTCGAAAACCAAGAGTCCCAGAAACTCGGGTACTTCGCCTGCCCCTGAAACATCAGGGTGTGAGAGGTGGTGCTTCCCTTCTGGGGTGCAGGATCCGCAGCTGGGCATCTGCCTGGTGAGAGTCGGATCAGAGCCAAGAATGTTCGAGTCAGTGCTGTTTTCCTCCAAGGCCAAGGATGTGACGGTAGGCAAACATTCTGGGGTCTTGAGAACAGAGGACCCCATGCAGATACTGGAGGATCTAGTCAGGCTTCGGTGATGGATGAGATCTGGCTAAAGAGAGAGAGAAGGACGGATTGAAAATCGCTTTCAGGTTTTTTGAGCCCCAACATTGGAGGTCACTTAAGAGAGCAAGGCGAGAGGCAGGGTGTGAGAGAACGTCCCCTGGGTAAAGCCACGAGAGGAGGGAGTTGACCACGGAGAGAGCAAAGAGAGAGCAGGCCAGAGTGAGGGAGCGTGGGAGAGTGAAGTGGCCAGCGGGGAAGTCAAAGGTGAGGGCCCAGGGCAGCCAGGGCAGTTTGGGGGCCTGGAAGTCAGTGTGGCATAAAAAACCACTTCAAAAAGAGGGGCTGACCTTTAACAAATAACTCAGCAACCCCATTGACTCCGAAGCACCCTGTGAGGGACAGTGAGGACATGGCCCCTGCTCGGGCATACGTGACTGGAGGAGCACGGAGGAGGAAACAAGTGACAGAGCGGGAAGAGCCACTGAAGGCCGGGGTTCCGGGCAGAACAGCACGGACCGGAGGAGAGGGCCGCGCTGTAGCCTGGACAAGGAGGGGGAATGTCTGTCGGGACTTGGGCCGGTGAGCCTCCAGGAGACCGGCCTGTGAGACCGCAGTAGAGACGGGGACAAGGAGAAATGGAGACCACACACGGCTGCTTCAAGCGGAAGCCTGCCAGCTAAGGGGAGGCTGCCTCGGGAATGAGGCGCTCGTAGAAGCAGGGGGGACATGCCCGGGGAGGAGGGAGAGAAGCAGCCAGAGAAATGGGGGAGACGGGAGCGTCCGGGGCGGCGAGGGCCCCAAGCCGGCGGGCTGGGGGCTGACGTGCCCCATTGCCTTGCAGTCTGCGCCTTCCCGTACCTCCTGGCCTTCACCACCGACTCCATGGAGATCCGCCTGGTGGTGAACGGGAACCTCGTCCACACGGCCGTCGTGCCGCAGCTGCAGCTCGTGGCCTCCAGGGTGAGTCACTTGTCGGAGGGAGGGTCTTTGGGAGCCCGAGCAGCCGAGCTCCAGGAGGGCACGGACGCCCGCCGTCTCATCGGGTCAGGCCCCCGTGTGCCCGAGCGCCGGCGGGAGCGAAAACGCAGGAGACGGACCGCCGTCGGGTTTTCCCGTGTGGCCCCCTCGGGCCTCGGAGCGCCCCTTCTTGGTTTTGTTAGAGTGTCACCCGGTGCTGGTAGCAGTTGGGAAGCTGTCGGCTGAAGAGAGGAGTATGTAGTCAGACGGGGTTGGATCAGGGGTCCCCGCTGCACTGAGGAACAGCCCAAATCTAGAAAAGAACGAGCTCAGAGGGTCACTTTCTTCCTCTGCTGCTTTCCATCCTTAGCTTGATTTTGTGTCCCATGAAATGTGGCTAATCGACTAACCCACATCTAGCAAGAGAGTTTGAGCAAAACCAAGGGACACCGGAACAAAGATGACTTTGTAAGGTGCCTTCTGTCGCTGGCACACAACCCAGGCGGTCTCATCCCGGCCCCTCCCTTGTCAGCCCCACACAGTCTGCCCTGGCCTTGCCAGGCCCGGATGGTCCCCCTGCCAGGCCCGCACGGTCCTCCTGCCCAGGCCCGTGGCGTGTTCTCCATCCTGACCTGCATCACGCATCCCCTTATGTGGGTGGGCTACTCCTTGTCTGTCTGTCTCCCCTACAAGGCTGACAGTTCCACAAGTCAGGGACTGGCTATCTTACTAACACAGCGCCAGTGTCGTGCTGCTAAAGGTTTCATTGCCAGCCCTCCAGGATGTGTGTGTGTGTGTGTGTGTACACATACATATATATGTACCTCAGTTGGCTATAAATTTTACCAATGGAAAAATTAAAATAGCTTATGATTTACAAATAATATCATGGACAGTGCTTTTTATCTTAAAATCTGTTTAGCCAGTTGGCACTCACAAGTCCGTTCGCTAATTTTTGCTAATTCTTGTAACCCACAGCCAACCTATGGCTGCGGGTCAACCCTGATTTTACACCTGGGAGTTCTATGTCAGTACGTTAATTCTTCTTCCAATAAGCTTGTTGTCATTAAATCTGATTTGTGAGCTGCTGTTACTCTATTTCTCACTCTGGTACAAATCAGTCACTAAACCAAAACTTCTTCCAATATCAGCAGTGGACTCGACACGCATCTACTTTATCCTCACCATCAGAAATTCTGTCTATCACACAGAGCCTAGACGGTCAACAAAACAACAAATCGATCTCTGATTTGTAATGTTTGCCCATTTCCATGGTGTAAATAGTCCCACCATTAGGATGTGCAGCTTCCAGCGTGAACCCACTGAACTCAGGGTCGGGAAGCCACGTGCTATTTGCAGTATTTTCACCACGCAGATGCTATTGATGTCAGTAGCCTCAAGAGCATAGATAATGGTAAATGTAGCCATAAAGTTAGGAAAGGTCGAATTTTGACATTTAGTACCTTCGTTTTTATTTTTATTATTATTTTTTTAGAGTTTATTTATTTTGAGAGAGTGCATGTGTGTGCTTGGGGGAGGGGAGAGAGAAAGAATCCCAAGCAGGCTCTGCGATGTCAGCACAGAGCCCGATACCGGACCCGATCGCGTGAACCGTGGGATCATGACCTGAGCCAAAACCGAGAGTCAGATGCTTAACCGACTGAGCCACCCAGGCGCCCCGGTACCTTTGTTTTTCATGTAATGTATTTATGCTGAGTAATGGCTGTGTTTAACTTGCAAACTCCCCGTATAGGCACTCACGGGTCAGTTGGAGGCTGGTCTCAGCACACCACTGCTGTTACCACCAAAGCTGGCACGTCATGGGTGTGCGCGAGTGTTGGCCGAATGCGTGAATGAACGGCCCGTTTCCCCATCTGTACGTTGACCCGACTGAATCCAAAATCCTTTCCAGGCCTAACTCTGGGGGTGCCTGAGATTCCTGTTAGGCCAGTGTGCACTAGGTGTGTGTCTGCAGAAGAAACGTGGGAAACAGCCTCATCTCTGTTGTCATTCAACAAAAGGATAAGGGGAAATGCCGGGAAACTGAATGCTCAGGAAAGGTCTGGGGTGACGGTGCAGGACTTTGGCTCTGAAGTCCCCTGCCCAGGCATGTCACTGCACTGCAGGCCCCGAGGACGTAGCAGCGGAGCCGAGGAACCGTTGCGGGCTCTGCCGTGACGACAGGAGGGTCGTGGGTACAGGGAGCCAGGCATCTCCATAATGCTTTCTCTTTTATTCTAGTCGGATATATACTTCACAGCAGCCGCTGCTGTGAATGAGGTCTCGTCCGGAGGCAGCTCCAAGGGGGCCAGTGCCCACAATTCTCCTCAGACACCCCCGGGCCGAGAGACTCCAGCGTTTCCTTCTTCTCTGGGGGAAGGTGAAGTCCAATGTTTACTGTCTTTTTAATAGATATTTTTAATCCAATCTGATTTCTCCAGCTCATTCTCGAATACCGACATCCGATTACTGCCTAACAGAGTCGCTGTTGAACACTATAAAAAATACAACACCTCGCATTCTGAATGCTTTGGTTGCATTCTTAAGAAAGCTGGTAATAACAACCCAAAAAGTCCCATGAAAATAACCGTTTCAGTGGGGAGGAGGGTGTTGAGGGCTGGAGGTCCCAACTTGCCACAGCAAAGGTGTTTTTCCTTGGGGGATGTTAACGATACCTTGGGTTTTTATAGCCTAAAGGATAGAGCCCTGAAAACTGCTGAGCACGCCCAGCTTTCACTCCATCTGGCTTTGCTCGCGAATCCCAGAGGCCCTTGCCGTGGTTACCGCTTCGCTCTGAGCGCCGCGCTTTTCCCGACTGCTCACCGCATCAGTCGTTACCTCTCCTGTCCCCGAGAAGCTCGGGGCTCCCCAAACAGGCAGTCAGTGCTGCTGAGTGTGCTGCAGCCGTCTGCCCTCCCGTCTGCTCTTCTCTCCTGGGCAAGCGGAGCCCGTAGCGGGTGCATTTTAGCCCACGTACCTGGGAAAACCATGCCCTTAAAAGCCGAGGCCATCAGGCTCCGTCACTCCGTTGCCCCTAACGAGGCCTGGGAGATCAGCATGTGGCATAATTTCTTCCTTCATGCCAACTGGGTTGAGGCTCCCGAAGTCACCCCTTTTGTAAACAGTGCAGACTTTTCTTAAAGTTCTCATGTTCTTTTCCAAATCATATTTCAGGTGAAACTCAGTCCAAAAATCTGTACAAGATCCCACTCAGAAACCTTGTGGGCAGAAGCATCGAACGACCTCTGAAGTCGCCTTTGGTCTCCAAGGCCGTCACCCCGCCCACGTCCATCGGCCTCGGCATCGCTGCCATCCCTGTCACTCACTCCCTGTCCCTGTCCCGTATGGAGATTAAAGAAATAGCGAGCAGGACCCGCAGGGAGCTGCTGGGTAACGATGTGCCGGTTTTGTGTTTTCACTGTTCGTAAATAGACCAGCTGGTTTCATCTTTGGATACTAATCATCCTCAAAGAGCATGAGTTTAAAAAAGAAACTTTCCCTTTAGTAAAGGATTCATAAATACATTACAGTGCAGCCTCACCAAGGAATACTGTACAGTTATCTCATGGACACAATGTGTCCGTCTGCATTTATTGGTGTGGGAGGCCACCCAAACCATGCCAAGGGCAGAAAAGGGAGTTTGCAAAACAGTATATCTAGTCTGACACCATTTTTTAAGATAGAAGTATCTGTATATGTCTGATTTTCTAGAAAGCGTCTAGAAGGATTTATAATGTGCATTTCTCAGATAACATATTTGTGTATTTGGAAGTTTAAATTGACCATGTTTTTTTCTAATTTTTTTCAATGCTTATTTTTGAGAGAGAGAGAGACAGAGCATGAGTGGGGGAGGGACAGAGAGAGAGGGAGACCCAGAATCCAAAGCAGGCTCCAGGCTCCGAGCTGCCAGCACAGAGCCTGCCACGGGGCTTAAACTCGAGAACCGTGAGATCATGACCTGAGCCAAAGTCAGATGCTTAACCGACTGAGCCACCCAGGCACCCCTAAATATACCATGGTTTTTTTTTTACTATTTGTGGTGCAGTTCAGTTATTGCTTTTTGAAGCCCATAGACCATGGGGGCAGGTCTGTGGGGATGGCACAGACATGAGGTATTGGGTACGCCCTTCTCTTTCACTGTTACCAAGATGAGAGACCGGACCAGAGAAGCACAAATCACCGTGAGAGTTGTGCAGAGGCTAGACTGCCATAAATATGTTTGTTCCCAATTATGAAAACAAAGTGAAGAAAAATGGAAACGATGTGCTAAACCAGTAAGAACCGGTTTGAAACTTAACTGGGACCTGCACGCCCTAAAACTGTTTCCTGAGAGCAGGGGCGGGGATGCAGGCCACCTGACAGGGCAGGCTTTGTGGGTCAATTTTAGAAGTGGGTGCCTTCCACTGTGCTTTTAAAGTATGCGTATTGCTATTTTAACCCACTATTCCCTACAAAAGCTTGGTCTGCCAGCCGCTGTTTTATAAACCACCGTGCTTTTCTGAAATTGAGCCTCAGAATTGTAGAATTCTAGTTTGCAGTGGTAGGATCATACATTTTCTCTCCTTTTTTAGACCCTCCTGAGTCCCTCACTTTCCTTTCTTTCTTTGTTTTTCTCTTTCTTTCTTTCTGTACATATATTCTTTATGATCAGGAAAAGAAAAAAAAACCTTCTACCAACAAGAAAACCAATTACTTTAAAATATATACTTTATCATAAAGCCCTTCCTGCCTCTATCCCAATAATGGACCAATATCCAACCAACAACAACAACAACAAAAAGGGCACTTTCTGTCTCCATGACAGCCCTGTGGGAATAACCCTCTGAACTGTGCTTCTCCCCTGTAATCCAGGCCTTTCTGATGAAGGTGGACCCAAGTCAGAAGGAGCGCCAAAGCCCAAATCAAAAGCCCGGAAGCAATTAGAAGAAAGCCAAGGAGGCCCCAAGCCAGGGACAGCGAGATCAACTAGCAGCGACAGGTATAGGAGGAGGCTGTCCCCAGCTGTCCCTGCTCAGGGTAGTGGCCCTTTCTGCTGACTGATGATGCCAGTAGGCAAATGGTCAGCATCCAGCTCCTCTCTGAGGACCCCCGGCTGGCCCAGGGAGGGACCCACGCAAATGAACATCCTCACAATTCAACAAATAAAAATACATTATGAGAATTTTTATTTTTATTTTATTTTTATTTTTATTTTTTTTGCTCACCAGCTCACCAGAGATTTTTTTAAACCAAAATGCTCAGTGGGAGTGACAGAAAATAGGCCCTCTCCAGTGCTTCTGGTGGGAATAGAAACAGGTACAGCCTTTCTGGATGGCAGTTCTGCATCCCATGTCAATGAACGTTTGTTGAGTCCCACTGATTTGTCCCCTGAGAGCCTCTGTGTCCCTCAAGCAATCCTGTGTGCTCCTGTATAGAAAGTAAGGGGGCACATGTCCAGACTCCATTAATCCATTCAACACACATTCTTAGAGCACCTGACACTGAGCTGGGTGTTAGGGATATGAAGATCACTCTTGGGGGTCCACAGGCCCAGGGAGGGAGGAAGTCCAACAAGAACATTCTAGAAATTACAGCATTCTGGGGTCGCAAGATGATAGAAATCAGGAGTGCCAGCTGCCCCACACCTGGGGCAGGGAGGGTCTCAAACACCAGGAAAGGCTGAGCCAGGTCTCATAGACACAGGAAGCATTAGCCTGGCCAAGAGGGGGCAGCACTCACAGATGCTTTAATCTAACAAACTGAGCCCCTACCTGCGTGACAAGTCCAACTTTCGTGGACCACACCTTCTGGTGCGAAATTGGGGTGGGTGGGTAGGGGTCAAGAGGGCTTCTCTGAGGAAGTAGCATTGAGCCAAGCGTTGACTGAATTAGAAGGAATGAGGGGAACAGCAGGGGCAAAGGCCCTGAGGCAGACACAACATGGCCCGCTCAGTGGCCAAAGTCTTGGCGGGGGGCTTTTATAGGCTAAATGAGTACTTGTTGAATGAACAAACTCACTGAATTTGGTCAAATTGGTTTTGCAGCTATCAAGAGGGGATGGGGGTGGCTTGGGAGGAGGCAGAAGGGTCAGCAGGGCCAGATCCTGTGGTCTGTGGTCCTGTGGGTAGAAGTTTGAGCCTTATCTTCAGGCCGTGGGGAGCCCCAGGAGGGTTTTAGGCAGAGAGTGACACTATCCAGATTTGCCCTTTAGAAAGGTAAAAAGCACCTCACAAACACCGTTTATGTGTCACCACTGGCCTTTAAAACTCCCAACAGCCCATGAAGTATGGCTGGCTGACTGCAGACCCCAACCTCTGCGGGGGTGACTCCTGCATGTCCCAGCTTTCCCTGTAAGGGCCGGGGGGAGGGGAGGGAAGGGGAGAGGCAGGCTTATGAGCTCAAAGGAGCAGGAAACTGCCTGACAGAAGAGGCCCCGGTCACTAGTGCTCTCCAGGGATCCTTTATGTGACTTTTCTCTTCCAGGATCACATCGGGCTCCTTGGAAAGTCCGTCTGCTCCAGAAGCCAACACCGAGGGGCGCTACTACTCGACGGGCTCCGAACAGGACCCTCTGGTGGACAGAGAAGGCAGCCCCGTGTGGGGCAGGAGCCCCTTCCAGCTCACAGCTTCCTCGGACGAAGACATTATCGACCTGAAGTGATGGGTCGGGATTGAGTTTGCCATCTTTAATTTTCTTCTGGAGGTTTATACTCTTTAACCAGTTCTGACAGCGTTTCTCGACAAAATGTGGCTTTTAGCCCACCCATGATCTACTGGACCAAACCTTCTGCCCACCTGGCCGGTTTGGGTCTCTCCAATGTCCGGTGCCATCTTTCTTGACCTTTGTTTCTTTCTGTTTGGGAACCATCAGTCCCCTTGTAATAAAGGTGGTAGATTTCATTGAGGTTTTAGATTGAAACTTTGAATAAATCAAAAATGTTCGTTCTTATGTACTGCAACCTTCTCTTATATTTTATATACTTAGATGGAAAAATTATTTTTTCATTATGGTTTTAATTTATGTCACATAATGTGTTTCTTTTATAAAGAAAAGCCATTGCTTTTAAAACCTATTATAAATAAGTTTTCTTTCTGCACCTTTGGCCCCTGTTGCTGTTTCGGGTCACAGTGATTGGCACCAGCTGCGTCCCCACGTATAGACTTTTGAGAAAGGCTGAATGGTTAGTTCTTAGAAGCTCCTGCTTCCTCCTTGTGTCTCACAAAGAATAACAGGGGGAGGAGCTTGTTAAGAGTCTTAAGATGATTTTGTTTGGTTTCGCTGTTGCTCTCAAATCATATAGCCAGGCAACAGTCACTCCTTGTCATCAAAATTACTCTCAGATCCCCTCCTCACGTTTCACGTGAATCAAGTGATCATCCTCCCTCTTGTCCTTACCTGCCTTCTGTGGCCCCCCTCCTCAAAGTGAGAAGAAAATGCAGGCTTGACCAAGAGCAAATGAAACCGTGAAAGCTCAGCCTCTAACCGGGGGGAGATCAAAGGGGGAAACCTAGTTTCACTGACACTGTAAACATTTTCATCTGTATGAAGAAGGTAATTCACCTCCTTGCTTTAGTCTGACAGATCCCATTGTATTAGCTCTCTTCTTGCCTATATCACCCACCAAAAGACACGCGAAGTCATTCTCCCATTAGAGCATCTCTGAGGGTTTTTCCGCAGGCCTTCCCTGGAAGAGCAGAGAGCTGTGTTTGACCTCACCTTGATCTGACAGATTTTACAGAAGTTTGGGTCCTATCTTCTTGTGGGCCTTGCACCCTGTCTGTCTGTTGCACCACAGTGGTCTTTGTGCAAGAAATGGCTCAACATGGTGCACTCAGCGAAGGCTGTGTTTTCCTTCAGCAGATGCCAAGAGGTGAGAATAATGCAGACAGTGCTTTCTGGATATAGCCAGGTTATCTCTCGGGGTACGCGGCTGGCCCATTCTTCATCTTTGTTTTGTTATGCCCTTTTGTACCTCGTGGTCCACTCGTGCTGTCTCTCAACCTCATGAAAAGTTTTGTGAGTTAGGTTTCACTATTATTGCTTGTCAAATGAGTAAACTGAGGCTCAGAAGGGGGCAGTGATATGAAACTGGTGAGTTCTCTGACCCCAGGGCTGTGCTCGCTCCCCCATCCACCATACAGAGTCAGGCTGAGTGCCTTGTGTCCATTGGATCTGGCTGGTGTTTTTCATGTTAAACTAATTTGTAAGCTTTCCGAGCTTGTCTATGTGTTCTTTCTGTCATCTTTTTGCGTGAAGTTTCTTGCTTCTCAGCCGGGAACAGAAAAGCCGAGGGTGATTTAGAACATTCTTCCAAAGAGATTGGCAGCGTCAGAACCGCCCCCAAATTTGCCAGGAGTCACAGATCCAAGGAGCGAATATAGAAAGGGCAAGAAAGAGGTTGAGCCTACAAATCAGATCGATGGGGCTTCGCTTATAAAAGGGGGGGGGG